GGATAGAGGGAGGGAAGTTGGAGGGAGGGAAAGAAGGAGGGTGGAGGGAGAGAGGGAGGGTGGAAGGAAGGATAGGTTGGAGGGAGGGAAAGAGGAAGGGTAGAGGGAGAGAGGGGGAAAGGAGGGAGAGAGGGGGTGGGGAAGGGGAGAGTGGAGGGAGTCGAGTTAAAAACATACCTAGGGAGATATGATGCTAAACTATATAGCCATAACAAAATGAGTTGGCAACCACCTTCAAACAGTGTGACTCAGAAGCTGTGTGCACTTGTAGACCACAGAAGGTCAGAAAAGCAAGGAAAGAGAGAAATATAAAAGTCACCACACACACACACACACACACACACACACACACACAATCTGCCTCAAACCAGATCTTTACATTTCAATTACAATAAAAAACAATGGATTCCACACCCTACAATCATTGGGGCAGCACTTTAAAAAACAAAACAAAACAAAAAAAAACCCACTGTTTCTGAACTCTGCCCAAACCGCCACATGCTGACTGAACTGAACTGGACTGCCACCGGGGATTCCTAAAAGCCCACAGATTATTCTAATGTACCACAGCATTCAGAAGCCTTTGGGGTTTCTTTTTGTTTTGTTGTTTTTGTTGTTTTTTTTCTTCCAGAGATGATAGATGATTTCCTTCAGACATCTTCACCATGGTAGCACACTTTAAAAAAAAATAACTAAGCAACTTTTAAAAAATAAACATCTATCTGAGCTCACCCACAGGATTCTGCCAACCTCTGGGTCTGAGAGGGGCCAGCCCCAGCGCCCTAGTACTTTATAGACCCAAAGTGACACTAAGGTCAGCCACGGTCGAGGCCTAGGAAATCAAAATTATCAGCCCATGTTTGAATAAGAACAATCTTGGTCCTCTGAAGCCCTCATCACCCCATCATCACCAAGTTTCACTGAGTGACATGAGAGAATTCCCTTAGAATGCTTCCTGGAGGCCTTGAACTCAATTCCAATACACTGTGAGAATTCTTGTCCAATCAGATCCCCTGGTGGTGCAAGTAGCTGGGTTGGCAGGCCCTGAGCCTCCTCTCCCTGTGAGATTCTGTTTCATGAATTTCCCAGGAGGATTTCAACACTGCTTGGATACTGGACATTCTGCCTCCCCACTCTTTCCTGCTCCTCTAGCTTGCTACCCTTACTTCGCTTTTTCTTCCTCACACCCGGCTCCACCTCGGCGGAACTAAGAATCCTAGATACACTCGCAAAGAACTCAATTAGATATTTAACACTGGGTCATCACTCCTGTAACTGCTGGCTTGAAAATGATGGACAGCTCTGATAGACCTTTTGGCAAGCGCATGCTTAACTCATTCTGAGGCCTGGGCACAGGCATGGTTCTCCGCAGGAAGAGAAAGCCCACAGAGACCCAGGAGCGCTGCAGCCACTTTGGGTGTGTCTACTTCCTTAGGTCTACCCACTGGGGACGTGCCTCCTAGATCCCTGGTCTATACTGAAGTTATGAATAAAAACTAGTGAGGATCGGAAGCACTGACTAGGCTGTCTTTCTTACCTCACCTCCCTTTTCTGTTTACAGATGAGAGAAAACTTCGGGGGGGAGGGGGACGTGACTCTGTCCGGGTTTGCCACAGAACATTAGTGGCAGAGCCCAATTTAGCCGCCCTCGACTTTCCATTCGGTTTCCTGGCAACGGAGTTCAGTAGCGCTCAGCGGCCAACCCTGGCCCCTACCCTCGCACCCTTTCTCCCCCCCGCCCCCCCTCAGCAGCTTGGACAGCATTGATTAAAGGGTCAACCTTTTGGGACAATGGCCAAGGGCATGAGAGCGCAGACACTGGGTGGATTACCCCAATTGCGCTGGAATCTCGCCCCACACTGATGCAAACCCCGCCTGGCTGGGACTGGCACACCTTCCAAGGTCCTGGGGGACCTTCCTCAGCCATCAAAGCTCTCCTTCCTCAACACCTGTGAGTTTCTCTAAAGCACTCAGATCAGGTTCTCAGAGTTCTCAACTGCTGGTGGACTCCCTGATGGTCAATATGGGGAAAGTGGTACTCCAAGCGTCCAGAGGACAAAGGAGGACAGTTGGGGGGGGGGGAGAGTGCAGAGGGCCTTATCTTACTAACATTGGTCAAACTCGAGCCAGAGCTGAGCTGAGATGGCTCGAGCTCGGCAGAAATAAGAACACAGGGAAAAGTGTCCCCGCTTCCCCGAAGAAGACACCCTCCGCAGGCACCCCTGCGCGCTCCAGCCCCTCCCACTGCAGCGGAGCGCAGAGGAGCACTCGGCTGCGCAGGTGTCAGGAGCACCAGCTGTCTCACATCCCCGCGGCGCGCGCGCTCCTCCACCTCTTCCACCACCTGAGCCCAGGAGACTGCAAAGGAGAGATGCGTCCTCCGCACGATGTTACCCGCCCCCCCAAAATCCTTACCCAGGTTCACAAAGCTCATGACCATGTCCGCGTCGTTGAGGAAAGCGCTGTCCTGAGCGCTGGTCAGTGGGGACGCACCGCCGCCGGGTCCCGGGGCCAGGAGGCTCTTGCGGTTCAGGGAGTGTGCAGCGCTGGGAGACCGCTGTCTGAGCTGGGACGAGCTGGCCCCTCCGTGGGCCCCGGGCTCCTGCCCCTCACCCTCAGACGCCCCATCCTCTTCGTCGTCATTCGACAGGGCGTTGTAGAGATCCAGCATGAAGAGCGGAGCGGACTTCAGCCGCCCTGGAGGGGGTTCCTCCCGGGCCGTCTGCTGCTGCTGCGGGAGCACCGGGGGCTGAGGCTGCTGGAGACCGTGCAGGGGCCGCGGCCTATGCGGGAGCCCCAGCACCGACAGGATCTCTTTTTGCATCTCCCGCTTCTCGTGGGTCTTGAGCCGCCGATAGAGGAAGCCCGAAGAAGAGGACTGTGGCGGCGGCTGCTCGGCGCGCACGGGGCTCCCGCCGGCTCCCAGCAGCTGACCCCCGGCGGCGGCCGCGGCTACCGGCAGAGGGGGCCGCAGCGGTGGGGGGCCGCAGCTGCACAGCAACCCCCACCACCAGCACAGCCACTGCGCCCTCCGCCCCAGCCCCGGCATCGCCGTCCGGCCCGGCTGCCCCCGCGGGCCCCGCGAGGCGTCGAGCGGCGGAGCGAGGCCGGAGCGCGGCGGCTGTGGCCCTTGGAGTGGGCAGCCCCCGCCACCTCTCGGCGGGCTCTCTTCCCGGTCCTGGCACTCAGTCCTTATCTCTCATGGTCATCCGCGGCGCCCCCAGAAGCCCGGGCGGAGAAGGGAAGACGGGGCGACGGCCAGGATCCCCCACTCTCCCGCAGGTCTCTGGAGGCGCACTGGCTGAGCCAGGTGTGTCCTAGGCAGGACTGCGCTGCAGCCGGCGTCCCTGAGTGGGTCACAGGACGGTCACTCGCAGTCTGCACACGTGCGCTGCCCTAAGCCCTCGCAGGAGGCCGGCCGAGGGAGACCGGAGACGACAGATCAAGAGATGGGGGCGATGCTGGGCACCATCCCCGCGCACGCCTCTCCTGGTTTGTAGGACAATCGTTAAAGTTTACTCCTCTGCGGGTCCCTGGCTGTAGCGACCCCGCGTCCTAAAAAGCCAATCTTCTCCGCGCGGTTTTAACTTCCCTCTGGCCAGAAACTCGGCGCCCCTCCGCCCTCGGGCACCGTCGCTCCCCCTCGGAATCTCCGTGCGCCTCCCCAAGTGGAGGCGGCCACGATCTAGCTTTCCTCTCGGCAGTCTCTCGGGTTCCCAGAGGATCCCGTTCTCCGAGGCGATGAGAGAGACGAGGAGCCGAGCGCGGAACACAGGCTGCGGCGTCGGCTCGGGAATTCGCAGTCTCCCGCCTCTGTGCGCTGCGCTCCCGGCCGCCGCCAACGTGGGCTTTTCTGCTGCGCGTCTCGCTCAGGTACCGCACTCAAGCCCAGGAACGCCCTGCCCTACTCGGTAACGGACAGGCTACCAGCCAATGGAGAGGTGACTCTTGTGGGTTATTTACATAGGCCCATCCCCTTCTTTCACCCTCCCTTCTCCCAAGGCCTTGCCTCTGCTGAGCGTAGGTTTCTAGCACACAGAATTCTTGGAGGCATCAGGAGTTGCTTGGGCGGGTAAGAAAGGCAAAGAGGTCATTGCTAGGACGAAAGATCCGATCATGACCCCGATCTAAACCTTCCTCTTCCTCTGCTAAATAAAAGTAAACACAGCTATTTAATCCATACAGTTACCAAAGGAGAAAACAGTATGACAGTTTTCTCCTTCCCTGCTCAGTTTCTCTTATTGATGGAATGTAGGCGTTTAGCAGACACGTGGCTCTCAAAGGCAGCTGCTGTAAGTTAAGACACACCCTGCGAGGAAGCTGCTCACACACTAGCTGCAAAGAGGGCAGGACAAGCCAAATCAGAGTCCCGAAGGTTTCCAGTCGGATATTTCAATCTATCTCTTCATTTGGGCTGCATTTGCGTTCTTAAATTAAAACCCAAACCTAAGAGGCCCCGATCTGCTAGTGTTACGAGGAAAGACTTCCCCGTGTTCTTGCTAGTCTCTCAATGCAGTTGCTGTTGGCAATTGCATTTTTATGAGCAATAATAATACAATTATAAGTTACACAGTGTCAGGTAAAATGTAAAGAAGGTGGTAAAGATAGTCGCAGGCAGGGCAGAAGCCTAGAAAGTATAGAAAATGGCCAGGATAACAAATAGGGCCCTGGCCGGGCAGTGGTGGCACACGCCTTTAATCCCAGCACGTGGGAGGCAGAGGCAGGCAGATTTCTGAGTTCGAGGCCAGCCTGGTCTACCAAGTGAGTTCCAGGACAGCCAGGGTGACACAGAGAAACCCTGTCTCGAAAAAAAGAAAGAAAGAAAGAAAGAAAGAAAGAAAGAAAGAAAGAAAGAAA